AAGATCTTATCGAATCAGCTCAGTTGTCTGCTTAGGCCTGGCTGTTAAGTGAGCTGTCACAAACAAAAATATTATTTACAGGATAATGTCATTTAGGGAGAGAAAGGGTGGGCTCAGACAGGGAGGGGAAGCAGGCAGGAAAGAGTTGAAGATCAGTCTAGCGTGCTCATATCTCTTGGCTGCTTCCATTCATCTTGATGACACTCAGTCCTGCAGGGTTAAGGGAGGGCTTGCAAGGCTGGGTGCAGGACAGAGGCTTGGGGGTAGTTCAGAATGACTTTGTAAGAAAGGAGCAAAAGATGGAACAGGTGCTTGCAGGGAAAGCCAAAAAGGTCTGATCATGGAAAAGCGTCTTATGTCCTACATGTTGTGGTGGAATGTAGTCTGGATTCCCAGAAGAGAAGGACTGCATTCCAGAGGACCAAGAGACAGTGAAGCTTAGATCATTTGGTTGGGAGGAAGAGAGTTAAGATAGCTCTTCTCTAGCAATTCTCAGAGTGTATCCTTAATGGTAGCAATAGCACTTAGACTTATATAGTGTCCCATGGTGCTTTACAGCCCTCTCTAAGTGGTTTACAGAGTCAGCCTCTTGCCCCGAACAATCTGGGTCCTCATTTTTCCAACCTCAGAAGGATGGAAGGCTGAGTCAACCTTGAGCCTATCAGGATCGAACTCCAGGTTGTGGGAAGAGTTTGCCTGCAATACTGCCTTCTAACCACTGTGCCACCAGGTCTCCTAATCATGCAAGGTGTTTGCTTTAGTTTGGTAAGATTCTGTCTATAGGCGAGGAACAATAAGAGAAACTGCTTAGAAGAAACTCAATGTGCCTTTCTTGGGTTTTGGAGCCTGACATACATTTGTGATACAGTAAGTGTTCAAAGAAGGGAAGACAGGCCATCTTGCATCTATTAGCCATACTAACTGGAAGGGGCCTTCACACAGAGAAGCGCTGCATCTTGAACCCCAGGGAAGGCCATCTCTGTCCATCCTCACAGCCGCTGTGCAGAGGGATCAGACAGAGTGGTGCTTCTGTTCCTCAGCATCCACCAAACCAAGCTGCTAAACCAGATTACTGGGAAAGCTGGGCAAATCCCAGTGTTGTGGATTAATTATAAATAGAGCGATATTTACAGTCCAGGAAAAACTGTCAGGGTTGCAGAAGTACCTCCTCAGTTCAAGGGATTGGACATTGAACTCTGATTAGCATGACCAGCTATGGAGGACTGCGGGGGGGGGGACCTATCGCCCCAAACATCTGGAAAGCATTAGCTCTCCCTAATCTGGGGCCAGAACAATCAGGTGCCGTATATCTTCAAGCCTGAAAACTTGAAGGTTGCACAAAACTTGTTCTTTCAACTCTGCAAGAAATGTCAACCTAGCCCTTATTGAAAGGGAGTGTAAAATGTCGGGATTGCAATCAGAATCCAGCATCAGGATCGGACTTAAGTACAAGTGAAATGGATGCAGAGAGGAACTTGCCACTGTCTTGAAGCGGCTACAGGTAGGCCTCAACAACCGAGCCCCAAATTTAGGCTGTTAAGTGAGGAATTTGTTGAGCGAGGTTTTGCCCCATTTTGCGACTTTTCTCACCACATTGGTTAAGTGACTCACTGAAGTTGTTAAATTAGTCACACGGTTGTTAAGTGAATCTGGCTTCCCCTATTGTTTTTGCTTATCCAGAAGGTCGCAAAAGGGGATCCCATGACCCCGGGACACTGCAATGGTCATAAATATGAACCAAGTGTCTGAATTTTTATCCCATGACCCTGGGGATGCTGCAGTGATCATAAGGGTGAAAAATGGTCATAGGTCATTTTTTTCAGCGCCGTTGTAACTTTGAACGGTCACTAAAGAAACTGTTGTAAGTCGAGGACTTGATTCAGATTGTTCTTCTTTGTCAGCAAGGTACAAGAATCTGTTTCACTCAATGCAGCCTTTTTCCGCCTTTTTTCTTTAAACATGAGCCAATGTTACACAAAGAGCCACGGCTTTCTTGTGGATCCTTTCTTCACCCTCCTCTTAAGACAATCCTGGATATTGCTGGGTAGCTTAGCCTCCTTCCCATTCTCCTCTTCTCCTTCCCACCAAGCCCCTTCCCCATTACTTGCAGGTGATCAGTTCATTTCTTCTGCCTTTCCACTGCCCCCCCACCAGCCCCCCCTCCCAATTATCTTTCTCTTTCATCACCACTGGAGCTCGAAGTACAAAGCACCAATTAGCTGGTTTTCAACTTTAATTAGCTTGGAAGGTAGCGCAAATTAAATCCTTTTATCATGTGTTTCAAAATCCTTTCCCAGCAAACTGAGTCTGGCCCCCAGCATCGTCTGACTTTACCCGGGAGGGGGGAGCATTTTGGCAACCTTGGGCAAACGCGACCCTTTTCCATTATTACCAAGCTGGGAAGCTGCCCATAGTCAGCCCCACAGATAGCGTAGTGCAAAGAGTTCTTAGATTTCCCCCTCCTTCTTTCGAGATATTTGTGCTGCTTCTATTACCAAGAATGAAACGATTAGCTTTTTCAAGTGCTAATACTGTATAAAACCTTAAGGTCTGAGGAGGTTAAGAGAGAGGCAGAAAGCTACTCGCTGCAAAGCTTTTTGGCTGCCACCCCCTTTACTCATTTCAATCTCAGCAGCAGCCAAAAGCAGAATACGGTTTCTGCCCTCTAAATAAAGAGGTTCCCGGAATAAAGCAAGTGCTAAATTTCAGCTCCAAATCTTAGGGTTTGATTCTGGAGCTGCATTTACTTTTCAACTCCACTTAGATCTTATTTAGGAAAGAAATATAATAGCCTGTCTTCCTGCCCTGGCCTCTCCAGAGGGCTCCCTGGAATATGAAATGATTAAAACAATTGCATCCAATAAAAAAAAACCACAATAACACAGCCGCCGAGTGTTAAGGAAAGCACAGGCAGCAGAAAACAAACCAGCTGGGAAGGAGGCTATCATCTCCATGAAATGAAACTCTGGTTTGATGATGATGATGATGATGATGATGATGCCATGATTATGGCATCAAATTATTTGCTTTGGAACCCGAGTTCAAAATTGGATTGCAGCATAAGGCTCCTTGGGAGATTTTCCCAGGCTTGCTTTCCTCAGGGAGCTGTTGGGGTAATTGCATGGGAAATGGGAGGAGCATGTGTTCCAATATCTCAGGGGCTGCCCCAAAGAAGAGGGAGTCAAGCTATTCTCCAAAGCCCCTGAAGGCAGGACAAGAAGCAATGGATGGAAACTCATCCAGGAGAGAAGCAACCTAGAACTAAGGAGAAACTTCCTGACAGTGAGAACAATTAATCAGTGGCACCAATTTGCCAATTTGTTGTGGATTCTCCAACATTGGAGGTTTTTAAGAAGAGATTAGATGATCATTTGTCTGAAATGATATAGGGTTTCTGCTTGAGCAGGGGGTTGGACTAGAAGTCCTCTAAGGTCCCTTTTCATTCTGTTATTCTGTTACATGTGTCTTCTCCGCATCTTAAAAGGAAGGGATGCTCTCCGTTCATTTTGGTAGCAAAAAGGTGAAATATAATCCAAGGAGAAAAATGTAAGCCAATTCTATCCAGTAAAAATGAAGTGGGCTGCCAATCATTCAAGCAGCTGATAGACCCGTTGCCTAGAATCTGGCAGGATCCCACTAAACTTTGATGACAACTCTTCCTTGAACCTGGTTTTCCTGCCCACCTGCACCATACCAGACCTCCTTCTGGCTGGTAGGAGAATGAGTGATGCAACTCTCAGCCCCTTTCTCCTCACATCTGCTGCAGCCGAGAGGGCTGTGTCATTCCATGATGGAGACCTGGATGGCCCCATCCATCACCGGGCAGGCAGCTCTATTTGGTAGGAAAGACAAAAGAGTCTTGCAGGGCCAGAAAAATAAAACAAGTCTGCAACTACAGCAAGGATGACAGTCTGGCGAGATGAAGATGTACAGGTGGCAGGACTGGGGAGGAGAGGATTGAGGAGCAGCATGTGACCAGGGTGCAAAACTCTTGAGATCACAGAGGGAAATGTCAACACCTTAAAAAGCTAGAGAAGGATGTCTATAGAGATTCTTAGTCATCCAGGTCATGGTTGTCCTTAAGGTGCTTCTTTAGAAGGCAATTGGACTTTCTTGGTTATTTTTTTCTCAAAGACATTTCACTTCTCATCCCAGATCTAGACCCACAACCAGCCATGAATATGCAATAATAGAATCAGCATGTTATCTTCCACAACCTTTTCTTAAACTGCCTATCAAAAAACAAACAACAAATTGAACTGAAACCTGAAATATTTCTACTAGGCATAATCAATCCAAAGGTGGAAAAACAATTTCAATACATCATTATACATATAATAACTGCTGCATACATTGCATATGCTCAATGCTGGAAAAGGGAAAATATATCAACAAATGCAATGATTATATACAAAATATTAGAATGTGCCGAGATGAATAAACTTACTTTAGAAATAAAAGACAAAGAAGTTACAGAATTTTATGAGATATGGGACATGTATTATAATTGGTTAGAATTGAGGAATAAAAAATTATGAAAAGTAATGTAAATAAATGTAAATAAATGTAAGAGATATAGGACATAGTATTGTTAAGGAAAAAAATGTACTTTGTATTTTGTTATTTGTAAAGAGAAAAAAAAGAAAGAAAAAAAAAACAAAAACCAAAATTGGTATAATAGCCTCATATGCAGAGTTGGACAAACAATATTTTTCTCCTTCCTTCCTTCCTTCCTTCCTTCCTTCCTTCCTTCCTTCCTTCCTTCCTTCCTTTCTTCCTTCCTTCCTTCCTTCCTTCCTTCCTTCCTTCCTTTAGTAGATTGCAACACTTACATCAATGAAAAGTTAAAGCTAGATTGTTCTATTCCTCTTAGTACCTGTAGAATACTTAAAAGGAGAAGATAAGCAATGAAATTACAAGTACATGATTAAAAGAAGCATAATTATTGCTAGTCACCATAATAATTCATTTATGATTCATCTTCTTCTTTGGTGTTACAGATAAGCCGTTGCCCCAGGGGGGTTTAGGAGGCGTTTTGGGAATCCTGGGGGTTGTGATTGCTGCTCTTTTCATTATTGGTGGGGCTGTTACAGTCTTCATCATCTACAGAAGACAGAAGAAGAATCGGTCAGACACTGAAAATGACCTGTGAGTATCCACACCTCCATGTTAAATCTGCTTGGGCGATCATTCTTTAAGAATATATGAAATGATAGATAACGGTAGTTAAGATTGCTTCTGCATGGCAATTCATGGGATTGAAGGACTTTGGCATTCAAGATGTACTGAACAGGAACAATTCAGGAACTGCAGCAATTGAGAAACAATTTGAACAAGATATATGGGAACACACAGGAGTGCCAGCGTCACCTCCTAGTATTCTTTAAAGCAGCCACTTCATTTTTTTCAGATTGCATGCAGCTATCCTCTGAAATTTCAGTGGGTTCCTGAGAAAAAAGATGTGGGTGTTTTAAAAAGTTATATATAGGGGCTCTATTCAAAATCCTATATGCTCTGAAATACTTTGGGGGGAATGAATCCAGAACATAGCAGTAATGCTGAGCGGAAGAGAGTTGTCCATGGTGCTGAAGATGCAACTTGGTGAACACGGTTCACACTGCTTCTTCACACAGGAAGATGCACCCATAATGTTATAAGGAGATGCATTTGAGCTTACATCTCTACCTATTTTGGCTCTTCAGAGACTTGTTAGAAAACTGAAGAGCTGAACATCCTTGTTCCTGAAATGTGTTTCTCTCTCTCCCTCTCCCTCTCCCTCTCCCTCCCTCTCTCTCCCTCTCCTCTCCCTTGCCCCCTCCCTCCCTCTCTCTCTCTGTTGTTCATTACTCTGTCAGTTTATGTCCATTTCTACCAGAATTGCATGGGTCCTTTTGAGCCATTTTCACTATAATGTCTTCAGAAATAACAATTCATAAAAAATGGGGAGATTTTTTTTCTCTCATTTGGAAAAAAATTACTAGGTTAGAAAAGAAAAGTCGAGCAATCAAACTGAAATCCCATTTCCTGGCAGTGGTTCATTTCCTGTTGGCCATACATAACGACTCAAACTGTGATTTGTGCACTGGGTAAGTGCGAAAACGCTTTTGTTCAAAATTAACTTGGGCAAAAGATATTTTGGCTTGCAGCCAGGATTCCACCTGCTGTGGAATAAAGGGATCTCAACTTGCTTAGGCAAGAGCCTGCGAAATTTTGGCAATATATGGAGAACTTGAACTAAATTGTTGAAATCTCACCAGATTTTATAGTCTTGTAACACTGAAATGGTATTGAATGTGGATTTAGCCAAAGCCTTTCTTGGATATCAAAGTTAATTGATCAGAGTGGTTTGAGTCCTATCAACCAGCAAATTCAAGGTGTTGATCATGACTTCTAAAGCCCTTTAGGGCCTGAGTCCAGGCTATCTGAGGAACTGCATCACCCCAATGGGACTGGTCCACCTCACTTGCTCCAGCATAAGAATTATGCTGATGACCCTGTTGGCCAAAGAACTTCAGAACTTCTCCTGTGCTCCAGGAGAAGAGCCTCTTCTGTTGTGGCCCCTGACCTCTCTAACATGGTGCCTCTCAAGAGAGATCTTCCCCCACCTTCTTGGCCTTCTGGGAGGCCCTCAAACTCTGGCTCTGCCTATTAACCTGGGGCCCCAATGGGGGGATGTCCCATTTTGGAGGTAGGAAGTAGATTAGGAGAAGATACCACCTCTAACCCATATATGTACTGATCCCTTTTCATCTAGCTTTTGCTTAATTTTATTATAATTCTTATTGTTGAATGTTTCTAATGTTCTTATCATCTTATGCAATGTTTTTGTGTTGTTGTAAGCCACCCAGAGTCTCTTCACAGTGAGATGGGCAGCATGTAGATTTAATAAATAAGTGAATAAATAAATAAAAAAGCATTGTCTGTTCAACTGGCCATTTTCCTTCCTACAGGATAGACCTCCCTTCTTCCCAGAAACCTGCTTCTCTGCCCCTCAGCCAGAATCAAGAAGTGAAAAGCCAACTGACTGCAGAGAATATCCAGGTATCTTCTGCCATCCGTAGGGTTTCCCACCTATTTATTGATTCTATCTGACCCACACAATATAGGGAATGTTTGGATCAGGGATACAAAAGTTTATTTCCCAGCATGCCTCTTGAATTCAGAACAGTAGCCATTTCTAGAATGAGTCTCCACATCTGGATATCAACCATGTGGTTGATCACATGATTAGGACACTGGGTTGGAGGTTAGCAAGCCCACATTCGAGGCCCAGGGCAGGGTTGAGCTCCTGTGCTTCCCTCCTGCTCCTGCCAGGGACATGAAAGGGGCTCTGAACTGGCCATCCTTCGGGCAATGGTATATTGGCTAATCCTTTCAACCCAGAAGCATCTTGGTGCTTCTGAAACGAGTGCAGAAAATCTGGATATCAATTAGTTGGTTTCAGAGGCCACCCAGAATAAAGGAATTGCAAGAATGAAATGCTTCTCTCATTATTTCACAGTGGTTTCAGCTAAGTATAGAAGAAGAGATAAGAGGAAAGTAGGATGGGCATTTAAAAATGAACAGTCTCCATTTTCTCCATTATTTAGTTCTCCACTTCTCCATTATTTCTGTAACTTATGGATTTATGGGGATACCAAGTTGGATTATTTGTCTTGTTAGATCAATATTAACTTCTCTGGTTAACTGCAGTTCTCTTTTTAATTGCAAAGAACTGGATTTGGGGCTGCCTGCATGCAAAGCATGGGTTCTACTGTAGCATGGAGTTGTATTTGATCCTAATTCCTGGAATAATTTCTCATCTTCCATAAAGATGAGTCCAGACTCAGCTTTCTTATCTCACACTGACCATCTGGGGTCCCTAAAGTTCTCAGACTTTTCTATTAATGATAGGTGGTAGCTAAGGTGGTAGCTAAATCTCTACAGTATTGAGATTCCTAAAGGGAATGACTGATGGTATTACCTAGTTTGGTAATGAAACGTCTTCAAGGAAACAACCAAGCTCAGAAAGCACCAGGACCCCATAGTTCTCGCCCTCCTCCTCTTCCCCCTCCTCCTCTTCCCCCTCCTCCTCCTCCTCCTTTTCCCTGCAAATCCCACTCCCTTCTAGCACTGATGATGTTATCTAGTTTGGTAATAAAATGTCTGCAAGACAACATCCAAGCTCAGTTGTTCAATCCTAAACTCCAAATATTCTCATCGCTCAGTAAATGCAATGGCCTAAATCCCTTTGAGAAACATGGCTCTATAGTGTGATGGGATGGTCTCACCATCAAATCCACCTTGGAAATAGTTTTTCACTTGGGCTGGGACTGCTGTCTTGAACCTTCCCTACTGCCTCAACTACAGGTTGTGCACCTGGATAACATGAAGGAACAAGAGGAAGAGGTCCAGAAGACATCATCCCAGCCCCCCTATTATGACATGGCAGCTACTGAGTCTACTCCTAACCCTGAGAAGTTGGTAAGGACAAGTTTAGTCTTGAAGTCCATCCACCTCAGTCTTCATTCTAGACCAGACATGTCAAACTCGCGACATCATGTGACGTCGTGAGATGTATCGGGGCAGTTTTGCCATTGCCGGCAATGGGGTGGGCGTGGCTTCCGGATGACGCATCCAGCCCATGGGCCGGCAGTTTGACACCCCTGTTCTAGACCATTAGCTTGGAACTAGGCAGGGATTCATTTCCAGGTAAGCCACTGCCACAAGGCAAAGTGAATAAAAAGTTGCTAACTTCAAGTCCGAACAAATTAGAAAAGCAATGGGTGTAGTTTGGTTCTGAGCCTCTACAATGAGATTGGTCTATTCCTCCAAAAACTTTATCTTTCCATCCAGAATCCCTCCGTGCACCTGAATGTCTGATCAGCCCTTTGTGGATTTGAGAAAAAGGTCACACGCACAAGTACTTTGCAGATAATCTTTTATGAACATCTGAAAGAGTTTCAGAAACTTCAGCTGTACTCTGTTGATGATTTCCCCAAAGTGATTCTGGGCTCTCAGTTGGATTGAGACTGAAGGTTTTGATTGGTATGCATCTGGGCCCCAGGCAAGGAGATGATATTGAGGCTGGAACAGCAGCAGGGAGCTGGGCATATAAGTCCGCAGAAGCTACTCTGAGTCTAGCAGAGGCCGAGATGTGAGGTCCTTTCTCAGGGCAAGGATGAATATAGAAGAGACAGGTTGAGAAAAGAGTGTTTCTTACTCCAAGACTAACTTAGAGTAAGACTACTTTGTCTGTTCCAAGCCTGAGACTGGCTCAGTCCTATTTCCCAGTTCATTCTGGAAAAGAAGAGGTAGTGACAATTCTTAATTAGTCTTTCCCCAATGAGGTGCCTTCTAGACACCAAGGGGAGCACCTATTTTCAAAAGGTAACCCCGGATGGAATGATGTTTGTGTTCTGTCTGCATGTGTGAATACCCATAGTTTTGCAATAGTTGATCATGAAACTATGCTTTTGCAACCACCCATGAGAATGGGTCTCGTGAGTAAGGCACCAGGCTAGAAACCAGGAGACTGTGAGTTCTAGTTCCATCTTAAGTATGAAAGCCACTGGGTGACTTTGGGCCAGTCCCTCTTTCTCAACCCCACCCACCTTATAAGGTTGTTGTAGTGAGGAAAATAAAAGGAGAATTAGTTATGTTCACCACCTTAGGATATTTATATATAAAAAAATAAAGGCAGTTTTTTTAAAAATGTAATTAATAATTGTCTGACCTGGTCTACCAAGTCAAGACTGGAGCCACGAGTGTGTGATCGAATTCTCTACAGGTGTCACATGCATGGGCAGGGTTTGATCAGCCTATTGTGGCTTCATCTTGATTTTTTTTTTATCACACCCAGCAGACCCACCCACCCACCCACACTCTGAGGCTGTTCTCCACTTCCAAGGAAACTAAAATTAAGTTTTCACCAATTTTCTTTCTCTCTCCCCTTCTTATGCTCTGCGCACTCCTGCCTTAACCGTTGCATGAGAGTCCTCAGTAAGAGCAGATCTACCCCCTGGCATAGATCTTCTTTCCCTCCCCAGGTAGGTGAGGCTGAACAAAGGGGGTCTGAGCAACAATCAAAGCCCACCACTCCTTTCTCTGCATTGCTGTCATGTGGTTTCGAGAATTGGATACACCTTCCTCTCCTCTGCATTTACCTGTGAGAGTTTTACGGTTTGCACAGCTTTGTGCGCAGACCAACATCCCAACAAGAGATCTGCAAAAGGAATCAGCATTGTATTCCCCAAGAGAGTGTGACATTTAGGCTTCTGTAATCCTCTCCTTTCCCACGCCTGCTCCTCCCCCCCCCTCCAGTGTAATTCAAACACCCCCCTCCCTCCCAGTCCTGGTTCCCCAGTGGTGACATTTCCATAAGCTGCCAGCATTTTCACTCTGAAAATGTAATGCAGATAACTCGGGAGGTACAGATTTAAATCAGCTGCGCTGCAAGACAGGTTAGCAATGTAATTTTTTTTAAAAAAAAAACCAAAATATTGGAGGAACGAGGTCCAGAAAGATATGCATTCTTGCAATAAAAGAGAAAGGGGAAGGGGAAATGGTCTAACTAAATACTCTTTTTTACAAGATCACGATTCCTTTTCCTCTCTTGGACAAAAACATGGAGAGAATTCAGGGCGGATCTTCACTGAGGACTTTCCCATGGTTTCTGTCTCTTTCTTCATGCATTTGTTCTTCCCCACCTCAGCTGAGTATGGGTTGCGATGTCCAATAGTTGAATGGCTTAAAGTGGCCTTGGAGACAAATAGGTTTGCTAACAACCATTAGCCAAGAAGTGAAGCCTCTCTGTTCAAAGACAATAAAAAAAACACCACTAATGGGAAATATCAAGGATATTTATTTATTTACAGCACTTAGCCTAACAAAGAGAAGGCTTAAGGGTGACATGATAGCCTCTTCCAATAGTTGAAGGGCTGTCACAAGGAAGAAGGGGTTGATTTAGAACATAGAATAATAGAGTTGGGAGGGACCTCAGAGACCTTATATAATTTCGGACAAATAGTTGTCCAGTCTCCCTTTGAAAGCCTTCAGTGATGGAGCACCCACAACTTCCAAAGGCAAGTTATTGGTTAATTTGTTCTCTCAGAGTTGTGGGTGCTCCATCACTGGAGGTTTTCAAGAAAAGATTGGACAACCATTTATTCAGAATGGTATAAGGACTTCTGCCTTGGACAAGGGGTTGGACTAGAAGACCTCCAAGGTCCCTTCCAGCCCTACAGTTCTATGATTCTGTGGCTTCAACCTCAGATTCCTTTACCTGTTGTTCCAGGCAGGTTGACTGCTCTGCTCTTCTCAGTTACTTTGGACCTTTACCTGATGAATTTCTACCCTGCCTTTGATCTACGGTCAAACTGGGCCCACCCGTATCATTTGGAAGCAGTGCTAGAACACGAGGCGGGGAAGAGGAATTCTCATTACTTTTCTGCCAGTCAAGCATCAGGACAAAAATGTATATATGGTGACACAGTTTCAGCTGAATCTCATGCCATTTCCCTGCTCATCAAGCCATGGAAGAAAAGCACTCAGCCTTGGCATGTAACAGGGAATCAAGCCTCGGATACGGGACTTGGAGGCAGGCAATTACTGGCCAAATCAGTCCACCTAGCAACGGGCTTCAAAGTGCTTGTTCTGAAGCCACAAAATCTCTTTGAATGGCTTCCCCGCAGCTGGGCAGTTGCTGCAAACCATTTGAAAGGGAGGGAGGATTCTGGACTGGAGCTCCTTCAAAAAAATCTTGGCTGGCCAAAAAATCTGGAAGGACCCAGGGGTTAAAAGGGATGCAGGCAGAAGGTTTAATCAGAATTAGATTTTTTTTTTAGAGAGAGAGAGTAGAGCTACGCTGATATCACCTAGACCTATTTTTCATGGGAAAGTTGGAGAAAAGAAAGTTTTGTATGGAGACATGCACAGTGGTGGGATTCAGCTGGTTCGCACCACTTTGGCAGAACTGGTAGCTAATTTTTTGTCACCCAGGCCCAGAATGGACTTCCAGAAGCGGCATCCACATAGAGAACCGGTTGTTCACATATTTGAATCCCACCACTGGATAGATAGGTAGATAGGTAGATGGTAGGTAGGTAGGTAGGTAGATGATAGATAGATAGATAGATAGATAGATAGATAGATAGATAGATAGATAGATAGATAGATAGATAGATAGATGGATAGATGATAGATAGATAGATAGATAGATAGATAGATAGATAGATAGATAGATAGATAGATAGATAGATAGATAGAGTGATAGAGTGATAGAGTGATGGGATTCAGCCGGTTCACACCACTTCGGCAGAACCGGTAGCTATTTTTTTGTTGCCCAGGCCCAGAATGGACTTCCGGAAGCGGCATCCACACAGAGAACCGGTTGTTCACGTCTTTGAATCCCACTACTGGACATGCAGACTAAAGTTCCTTTTACTGGTCCATACGAAACATCTGGTTTGGTGGAATACAGCTATGAAAGCCTCTTTCTTCATCCATCCTGATCTCAGAAAATGCTGTTTGCAGCGTTATGCTCTTTCCTATTTTTTTTTGGGGGGGGGGTGATAGCTCTGCAGTTAAAGACGCTGGGCTGGTCAGCTGCAAAGCTGAGAGCCCGGGTTCGAGACCTGAGCGCTGCCTGATGGGGTGAGCTCCCATGATTTGCCCCAGCTCTTGCCCACCTAGCAGTTCAAAAGCATGCAAATGTGAGTGGATAAATAGGTACCATTTTGGCACCACTTTTGTGCCTCTTTGGCATATAGCCATAGTGGCCAGCCACATGACCCCGGAAGAGCCTTTGGACAACGCTGGCTCCCTCGGCCAAGAAACGGAGATTAGCACCGTGTCCTAGAGTCAGACATGATTGGTCAGGGAAACCTTTACCTTACTCTTTCCTAACTGGGTGTTTTCTGGATAGCCTGTTGGCCTGAAATCTCCCAAGTTCCTTCTTTTATGCCGTCTTGCTACGATTTCCTCCATGATTTTGTCATAGGTATGGATCGATCAAGCTTTAGTGGTTCCTAATTGGATGACTTGGGAATAAGCAATCCAACTGAAAAAGCATTTGGCTGCTGAACATCATATGAATGCTCCCCGGCAGACAGAAAAGCAGTCAAAAGCAACATCCTAAACATCCATTTGCACATGAGAAGGATACTGACTCATTAATCATGCTTCTCAGAGGTTCAGATCTTCAGAGCAATGTTTCTTTTAAACTTGTGTTGATCTCTTTCTCACTGTCATTCTTCATTGCCTTTTCTACCTTGATTCCCCCATTTGACTGTCTTCTTCTCCTGTCTTCCTTTCCTCCTTCTCTTGGCATGATCCCCTGGTGTCTCGTGTGGCTATGTCTTTCCACCTCCGTGTCTCTTCACACCTTCACTCCTTCTCCCCACATTCTTCCCTTCTGTCCTCCTTCCTGTCCGTCCATCGTGCTCTTTCATTTTCAGACTGCAGGCAACGACAAGGATTCCAAC